AAGTACCTGTAAATAGTTCAACTTTGATTTCACGGGGACTTTAAAGGGGTGATGAACTGAGAAAGCAATTTTTCCTTGAGCTTTTGACATCTAAGAGGTTATCATATTTATAAGAATATCCTGTAAGTTTCAGAACTGAAAACTTTTTCAGAAAAATTTTTGATGTTTTTTTTAAATGTAAAAACCAAGCAAACGCCATAAGTTGACCTCAGACAACAATATAATTTTTTTTTAAAAAGCCAGTTCATGACCCCTTTAAGAAGTAAATTAACTAGTTTAGTTTTTTTTTCTTTAATATCAATGGCAGGCAGGCATATGTATGGATGGATGCTTGTTTCCCCCACAGAATAAAAAAATAAATAAAATAAAAATCGGACATTTGTCCTATTTCGAACTCTATATCTTTCAACTCAGACTTTATAATGTGAAATTGCAAGTTTAGATCTCAATACTGACGTTTTTTATCTCGCAATTTCAAGCTTATCTAAAAAAAACCTCACAATTCAAAAATTTTAACTCACATTGCCAGTCTGAAAAAGTCAGAATTGCAAAATATATACTCGCAATTGTGAGATAAAAAACACGTCAGAATTGAGATGTAAACTTGCAATTTCACGTTATGAAGTCTGATTTGAAAGATATAGTCTGAAAGGTCAGAATTGTGAGATAAAAGTAACAATTACCTTTTTTTACTTTTTCATTCTGTGGCGGAAACAAGCTACCATACATATGAACTATACATTAAAAATAGCTAAATGGACAATGCAACATTTTCAATGAAAAAAGGATGAACGGACATCTAGGTATGAGGCTATTGACCAACTAAAAATACATTTTAATATTCACCTGTTCGTCATCTCCGTAACCCGAGTAACAGGTGACAGTGAAGAACTGCACGAGATCAATGCTGTCGTCCTGGTACTCTCCGCTGACTCCTCCTTTCAGCAGCGCCTCTCGGTGGTTATCATACCTTAAAACAAAAGTAACAGCCATATCAATAATTAAACATTAATGTATGTATAATGAAGACTGTTCATTTGAATAAGCCTTTTTAGTATATAAACGGGCAAAAACAGATTAGTATTACTGGTACTCTACCACACTTTATAGAGATAACGTGTCAGAAAACAACAATAATTTTTATTGATATACGTTATAACATTGACTATGTAACAAATTACTATTGCCATATATTTGCAATAGTTTTGGAATTCATAAAGAAACAATGGCTATAAATTCAGCAATGGCATATACGCTGCAAGTCTAATTTTTTTAATGTATATTTAATTTATTTGTTATTCATATTATATTCCTGATTTATTTGCAATTTCCAACCCATTCCACATGCATCCAATACTTGTGCAAACGAAATCCTCATTTCTATTAGACAGCTAGACCATGCAGATAACAATACATACTTCTCTCTGTCATTCCAAGCCCATATGCTGTTATTTTTTCCATAGAACACAAAGGAGAATTAAAAGCAGCAGCCACTTCTGTCAAAAAGCTTCACAAAAGTAGTTAAGCCATACCACCATATGGAAAATAGCCATTTTAAACTTTTTGTGTTCATTGGAAAAAACATGGTTTGGAAAAACATCCGATGAGAATTTAAGAATGACAAAATGTTAACGTTGGGGTAAACTATTCCCTTAACCCTTTAACTAGCACCCCCACAAGCCGAAAAATGACATACTCAAAATAAAAGAGCTTTGGTCTTTTGAAAAGACCATGTGAGAATTTATAGTTTTTAGTCATGTGTTTGTCGTGGAGCCCTGGGGGCCAAAACAGCCACAGAACTGCAGCACAAAACAAAAATATGTAAACAAGATGCAAGTTTTATCTACTTGTGATCCATATACAACACCTGCTGCAGTATTTCAACCAATAAAAACAGCAGAATATTCTAAAATGCTTAACATGAAACACTTAAGGATTGAATTAAGCCAAGTTTATAGCTAATCAAGGATTTGTTGATCTGGGTTATATTTTAAATCAAGTTTTGTTGCACCACCTCTTAACTAACAAATTAGGGATTAGATTCTGACCTGTGAAATCTGTGCAAATGAGCCTAGAATATGAATGCAACATGTTTTCTTTATAATGGTTTTCGATAAAATAAAATAAAAATAAATAAATAAAAACGCTTAACAAGAAATCGTGTGTTGCATTTATAGTCTGTGTTGATCTGCTTGCCTGTACAAAGTACGGATCCTCATCAGTAAGGTCAAGGTGTATTGAATTTGGTCTTTCAATATTACGATCTTACTACTACATTTAGTACTTAATAAAAACGTGATCAAAATGACTGGCGGGCAGCAGAGGAAAGCCTTGTTTTTCCCTCCAGGTGGATGCTCCTGGATGATCAGTTTAAGAGAAGCTCAAATATAGTAATCCTTATGATGTGACGCCGAAGGCCAAGTATGGCTATGGCCACCCAAACTCGGATTTTGTCCTCTGCATTTATTCAAGTTTGTGCAAACACACACAGATCAGTGAGTAGTGAACAAACACACAAACACATACTGATATTAAGACAAACAAAGATAAAACCAAGATAAATGTTCCGGTTTAAGTTTGAGAGAGAAAAAAAAACGGAAGAAAACCAAGTATAAAAGTATTTCACACGACACAGAACAGTGGTGAAGGTCGCGCTGCTCAAAGTCAATAACTGAATATGAGAGAGATTGTGGCTTTGAAGCTAAACACACACTGGAATGAATTACTCATGGAAAACTGGACATTTTCTCACCATCTGATTCTGTGCACACCATGTTTCTTGTACAAGGAAGTTCTAATATTTACCAAACCGATACTGGTTAAGATCCCCATTAGAATCAGCGACTCTCACTATGGGGGTGGGAATGGATTCCAACAGCTGGATTTATTCATTTACTTGTTACTTGCAAATTCTCAGTCCCTGACACTATAATAAGGCAATTTGCATTTTGGATCATAACTCTGGAGCCTATGATATTTTATCCCGCATTTCTGAATTTTTTTTCACACAAGGGAGTTTAACCCCTGTTGTGCATAATTTTGTTTGCCTAAAAAAACAGAAATTGTTTTGTTTTCATTTGCTTACATTTTAAAAGAATAAACAAATTGTTAATGTTTCATACTTTTATTTGATAATATGTTTTAAATCAAAAGTCCAGAACACTTTGGTTGCCTTTGGCTTGCACAGTTGGGGATATTCAAATTATTTAAACTAATCATTACTACCACTGATCAGCTCAACCAAACGTGGATGTTTTTCCACTAAGAAATGTATATTGTTGTTATACTTTTGATTGATACTGTGAAGCTGCTTTGATACGATATGTTTTAAAAAGCACTATATAAATATTCTTGACTTTTTAAAAAAAAAAAATACAGTATTTCTAAAAAAAAAAAAAACGTAAAACAAAAATGTATTTCATAGGACCCTAACATTTTTTGTTACATTTTTAACTGTATAGGTTTCATGATTTCAATTAATTATACATGTTTTTTGATTACTAATATGTAATTTAACCATTAAATCTGAGTCCAAAAAAAGTAAACCGGAACTAGGGAAAGAAAATTAACTAAATTTCACAGGGCCCTAATTTGGTGACCAGACCAAACCCAGACTAAAATGCATGTTTGAGCGGTTTTAACTGAAAGCAACTTGCAGTGACATATCTTAAAATGTCAGTGCCATTGTTTTGTCTCAAGATTCACACCAGTAATGTTGTTTTCTTACCTAAGGAACATTTATAAAAGCTACTTAAATGTAATAGTTGAACTAAGGCCTAATCATGGCTTAATCTAAGCACTGTCTGTAAAACCAGGCCACAGTGGTGGTGTTGATTTCCCAGGTTTGATATAGGTCTTACCATGCTCTCTCCTGTGGATCACTCAGAACATCATATGCAGCCTGGATCAGTTTGAACAGCTCTGCAGCCTCATCTGCGTTATCCAAGTTCTTGTCTAGAATCAGAATAAAAGATATGATACATTCTTACATAATGTCATTATTAAACTGACGTCCAGCTATAACGCTAATTAACAGCACTTTTGACAGGTCGTCGCTGACTAATTGTTTGAGAACATGTAACGTTATAAATAGGAGGCGACACCAACACCCTTATTATAAAATGGGGCAATTATGGAAAAGATAAAATGAAATCAAATACCTGGGTGCCATTTCAAGGCTAATTTCCTATAAGCCTTTTTCAGTTCGTCGTCCGAAGCGTCTTTTTTAACGCCTAGCACTTCATAGTGACACTTCATCCTGACTCGGACTTGAGGAAGATCTTACACAAACTGTAAAGGCTATCCTTTGAAGACCACTGTCATTAACTTACAGCACACACGAAATGTCATCAATGTACCCACGTGGGTCGTGAAATAAAACTATATCAACGCTATAACCTATTATCACACTAAATATAATAAAAATGAGACATTATTACAAAGGATAAACTAGCTTATTCATCAATTTCTTGGACAGTTGACATATTTACACTCGACAGAAAAATCACACGAAGCCGGTGTCGTGTGTGGATCTGCGGCGCATGAAATTAACGTCACACACGAGGAGCGCTGCTATTGGCTGAGAGATGGCTATTACTTTTTTATATAAATTCTGTTTTTTTAGTAATTTATTTCAATTTTTTTTGTTGTGTTTGCATTGACAAAATACAGCAAGGATACAATAACTTTTAAGAATAAATTAACATTTCTGAATATGTTCCATACCACCCATCTGATGGGCTGTTTGTGAGGATAAAAACTTACATTAATTGCATAGATTGATTACATGATCGTAAAATGCTTATATAAACATTAGTTTAAAATATTTGATTTATTGTTCATGCTAAATAAAGCATTAAGTCAGTATTGTTTTATTAATTTAAATTGAATGGGTGGGATTCGTCTGTCGTTAACCTTTGAAACAATGCAAACCGCTATTCTGAGCAGGAGTGGCTTGTGTTTTTTTTTTAAGCTTCCTAAGAGTTAGCACACAATTGACAAATGCTGGCTATTTTAAACTTTCAGGAGGACATAGCTTAGCTGCTGCCATAACCAGATCTGCTGTATGAGCACTTTTGTTCTGCATCTATTGGAAATAATTATTAAAAAAAACTAACACCATCATGAAATCAATGAGGGAAGTAAATCTGGATACATACAGTTTATCTCTACTTACGGCAAAAGAAGATATCCTGAATCCACGATCGTCAACAAACTGGTATGGTGACGATTTATGCTTATTTTTATTCTTTTTTCATTTTTTAAACCCATAGCCTAAATGTGGCATGTTAAGTTTATTAAAATTGAAAACGTTTTCACAATCCTAAAAAATAAATACCAATAAATGTTTCTGACCATAACATTAATGTTATTAATGAAATAGCTAAAACAAATCAGTGTTACTTTAGTATCATTGAGTGTTTGTAAATATTTTAAATGATTTTGTATTTTCCCTTTTCCTTTTAATTTTAGTACGTTTTAGTAGGCTAATTTTGTTTTATGTTTTTGTCATATTTATTAGTTATTGTTTAAATAGTTACTTTACAAAATAAAAATGAGATATGTTGCTTTGAAAAGAAGTATCGAAAGTGATTTGGATTTAGTTTAAATTATAATACCCCTGACATGCATTTAAAATAACAACAATAATTACAACGAATAAAAAATGCATTATAATATTTAATGAGTATGAAATTCTTAATTGTAAAAGAAAATATTATCCTAGCAGAGGATGGTTTCGATCCATCGACCTCTGGGTTATGGGCCCAGCACGCTTCCGCTGCGCCACTCTGCTTGCATGTATGCTGTGCACACGCTCTTGAGTCTTGAACAAAAGATTGTTTCCGTTGCTCTTATTTAGCTGTTTAAATGCATTACTTATTCATAAACGCCGACAACAACAAAAAAACCCAACACTCAAGCTGGAATTCCTTGTAAAGGAAGTAAATAATGTACGACTGTTCAATTACACAGATGGCTGTGTGTGTTACAGTATGTGTTCGTCAGTGAAGGTAGAACGACCCCAATGAATAGGACAAAAACTCTTCATCTTATATTTAGAAGAATTAGGGCACATTCCACTAAAAGTAGCTACACTTTTGTGTTCCATGACTTAATTTTTTGTTGTTGTTGTTGTCATTTTGTCAACTGAAGCTGTATGGCTCCAAGCAGTGGTGTCGTCTTGATCTGATGGACTATAATATTTCAAAATGTCTGTCTTATCTTAATCACTAAACACCCCCCCCCCCCCCCAATTTCCTCTGCAAATACCCCTGCTTATCTTAATTAGTATGTTTATCTGCAAAAGCACCCTGTATGACAAAACTATGCAACAATCTGACATCAAGGAGGAGTGTGTGGGGGTCTTAGGCATGAGTGTGTGAGAGATTGTTTTTGACCATGCTGGGGACATATTCATGGAGCAGAGCAGTTCCTGTTGTTTTGGCTACTGTTGTCACAGGAAGCGTTTTAAAAAGGAGAATGTCGCCACTGAAATAACTTTATTGTTTGAGAGCTAAAAAAAAAAAAGTATAATAATTCTGTTCTTTTTATGAAGGAACTTTATTCAGTCAGTTTGTTCCTGATAAGAGACACCTTTTGGAATTCGTTCCTGACATTCATACTGCCAGATTTGATTTGATGTTAAACTCTAAGATGTTTTTAAACCAAAGCCTCATTACATTATTCAAACCATAGGCCAACCCTAATTTGATCTTGTAGTTCAGATATTGTAGTTCAGACATTATAGCTGTATCAACAGTCATTCAATGTCTATAGCAATAATGGCTTCAAGCACACAAACAGAGATAGAAAGTGTCAGTTGGCTTATCAAGGTGCTAGTCTAAACACGGACGTCTGAAAAAGCAGGACACTGCATCTTCATAACCTTCCTGTCTCTGTCATTTCCTCTCCCTTTGATAGAATTCACGTATAGTAAAGCATAATGTATTGTTCACATGTACAGTAAATTTAAGGTAAGATACTGCAGATGAATAAGGTGAAAACTAATAAAAAACTATTAACTAATAGATATCACCATTTTCCCAAGATGACAGTACATTAAGACAATTGTTTTGTATTGCAAACTTTCTGAACACTTGTTGAAATATGCAAATGAGCACTCAAATCTTAACATTGGATAAAGCCATTTTATACATTCTTATTTCATTTTGTTAAAATATTAAAGTTTTTTTTTTTTAGAGAGGGGATTATTGATATCTCCTTTTTCCATTCCATAAATCAGAAAATACTGCCAATATAAATTCTCCATGTCAACAGATTATTTATTATCCAGTAAAAAAAAAATTAAAATAAAGATAACAATAAAACTGTCGCATTTAATGTATGTACTATAAGTGTTACTGAACAAAAAGCGAATTTTGAGAAAACGGCTTTAACAGATATTTACTGTAATTGAACTCTACAGAACCAAATAGACAAAGAGAAATAAAATAATGTAAAAAATCTTGCCTGCAAGTATAAGTTATAGAAGCAAAAACAGTGCCTGAACAGTGCATTGATTTTGCCTGTAAGTTTAAGAAACACATATCCATCAATAGTGATTTCAAATGTATGTTCCGACATTGTTGTCATGAGAATATGGGAAAACGGCCCTTTTGTTTTTTGGGTTTGTTTTACTGAAGACCCTAGGGATCCGGGTCCTGTTTATGGGCGTCATTCAAAGGAAATGGGCTCATTTGTGCCTGATACCGGTCACTACCAAGATTTAGATCACTCTGATTTTTAAATGCTTTTAATAGAAAGCTTTTCTAAAAAAATGTATAAACTGCATGTCCGCACACTTGAATCCTTTAAGCAAATTTAATAGCCAAGCTTTCGGTCAAAAAACAATCCTCAGGGCATATAAAAACTAAATGTCACATTCCATTTAACTGTGTTCAAACACATCAGGACAATCAATAGTGATAGAAAGAAATAGAAAGCATTTTTTTTTTAACATTGTACACTACTGTTCAAAAGTTTGGGGTTTCATTTTATAATGTTATAAAAAAAATACAGACAAGACATTTATAATGTTACAAAAGTGCTGTTCTTTTGAAATTTTATATTCTTCAAATAATCTGGGGGGGGGGCAGTTTTCAACATTGATCATAGTAATAAATGTTTCTTGAGCAGCAAATTAGCATAAGAATGATTTCTAAATGATCAAGTGACACTGGACTGGAGTAATGGTGCTGAAATTTCAGCTCTGATCACAGGAATATATTGCATTTTACAATATATTTAAATAGAAAAAAGTTATATTTTACATTGTAAAAATATATCAGAATATTACTGTTTTTGTATTTAAAATCAAATAAATGCAGCCGTGTGAACATACAGTAAAGAGACTTCATTAAAATCTTACTATCTTATTAAAATCTGTATAAACACAGTCAATATGGACTGATAATTTTGTTATATTTCTTTTGCTTTACACACTAAAAGAGTGAAATCTATCAATAAATCATACAGATATATACAACCAAAACTCAAACATCAGTGCAAAGCATTCTGTTAAAATGTCAGAGAACTTAAAATACATTAATCTTTGTTATTGAGTTATCCATCCTAATGAAATTACACAAACCTTAATATTCCTTGTGGCCATTTTATTCTCTGTGTACAGGGCTTTATTTGCCTATGATGGAATAATGAACCGGCTCAAACTGGCTGATTCTGGAGGTAAGTGCACACAGAAAGCCTTTTAAATAATGTTTTATGTTTTGGAGCTTGTTTTATGCAATTTTTTATAGTAGGTGGATTGAAAGAATTGTCGACTAAACTCCACCCCATACGGCCACTTTACGGGATGTGCAGAGTGGGCACAGCGCAACCCTGCATTGTTATGATATTATGGGTTAGTTCATCCTCCAGTCCACACGATTCACTGTGAAATGTAAAACACTTTATTCCTTCTTAACCAGTGTTTGTGGGCTCTCAGGTAGGAAATGAAGTGGACGAGTACCGCAAAGCTGAGTGTGCGAGTCATGTACCAGCGATCAGGAACTTCTTTAAGGTACCAGAAGGGAGGGATTATGGGACAATGTCAGCTTTAATTGTATTAAATTTAGAACAGACTTTTTTTTCACATATTTAGGGGTTCTAAAGCTTGTCACTGGGCGGGATAGTTCTCCCAAAATCGAAAATTGTGTCATAATTTATTCATCCTCATGTTGTTGCAAAACTGTATGAGTTTTTTTCTTTTGCTGAACACAAAAGAAGATATTTTGAAGAATATGGATAATCAAACAGTTGATTGACCGACAGTGCAAGTGCACCACATATTTACGACAGTACATCACATCGGCTCTAGGGGTCGCTGTTTCACAAAAACATTAGAGTGGGGATAGTGTGCCTTTAAGGATTCTACCTCAGTTAAAAGCTGTTTAATTTTTTTTTTCAGTCTTTTTTTTTTTTTTTTGCTATATTGGTATGTAGCCAAGATATAATTCGAATTAGGGAACATAATAGTCTTTCTTGTTTTGTGATCATGAGCATGTAGGTCTTAAATTCGATTTTTTTTTCTTTTTAGAAGTCTTTTTAGACTGCATGTATTTCTTGTCAGGATGAATTATGTTTAAAATAAAAAGATAAAGACTATCTTTAAAAAATTGCTATCTTTGTCTTTCTGGTGCTTCAGGAAGTTCACATCTTTCTTCCCGCCCACACTTTGGATGAAATCACAGAAGAGCGGATCTGTACACTGGCCCATAATGCTGCAGTGGTCACGAAGGGGCCGAGAGGGAGACCCGGACGCCGGGTGGAAGAGAGACAGGCCATTGTGGTATGACAACATGACTATTTCTTACCACAAGAGGGAAGGTTTTATGAATCCTGAGTGATGAAGTTGTTTTGAAAAGTATAGCCAGTCAGGCAATTAAACTCTATTAAAATCAGGAAAATGGTAAACAAATCAAACTGACTCCTCAACATTTCCAGGGCACTAATTACAAGCGAACAATCGCAGCCGCAGAGATCCAGAGAATCCAGAGGGATTCTTTCTGGGCACAAGCAGAGGTACGGTGTGAGATTTTACATTTTCTTTTTCTTTGTTGCCTATTATTCTTTAAATGGTTGATATTATCAATTCTGAATATTATGGCAAGAAAAGAATAACTCTCCAGATCTCCAAATGATCTCCACATTACCAATACACCTCCAACATAAATAAGTAAACTGTTATGTCACAAAAGTAAATCCTGGTAGCGCTTATTTCATGTCTAATTGGTAATAAATCACAGTTTACAATTAACATAAGAAAAATAAAATGAAATACAATTTTGTTGTTGAATATTTTGTGTATTCTTCTTCCTTTTAATTATTAACCATTGGCACATTTTTTTATTGGATTTCTGAACTTTTATTTAGACACATTTATTTTTTTCTATAAATGTTTATTAAAATTCTTAAAAATAAAATTCTGTCATTAATTACTCACCCTCATGACGTTCCAACCCCATTAGACTTCAAGGATTTATCCTTAAAACACACACAAATGAAGATATTTTAATGAAATCAGTGAGCTTTCTGTCCTTCCATTGACAGTCTATGCAACTACCACGCCTTTCAAGCCCCAGAAAGGTAGTAAAGGCATCATAAAAGTAATCCATGTGGCTAAAGTGGTTTAACCCAACATTTATGAAGCCAGTGCAAGTGCTTTGTTTGTGCAAAAAAATCTTAGAGTCACATGGATTACTATAATGATGCCTTTATTACCATTCTGGGGCTTGAAAGTGGAAGTTGCGTAGACTGTCAATGGAGGGACAGATTGTCGTATGAATCTTGTCAAACTAATGTCTTACGGGTTTGGAATGACATGAGGGTGAGTGATAAATGACAGAATAAAAAAATTTGGGTGAACTAATACTATCAAAAAAAATAATAATAATAATAATAATTGTGGAGTGGTGATGGCGTAGTGGATAAGACACATGCCTTTGGTGTGAGAGACCCAGGTTCGAATCAACTGTGAGACACCAATGTGTTCCTGAGCAAGACACTTAACCCCTATTTGCTTCAGAGGCATGCAACCTCTGACATATATAGCAATTGTAAGTCGCTTTGGATAAAAGCGTCAGCTAAATGAATAAATGTAAATGTAATTGACAGCTAGCTAATTTATGTCAGCAAGTCCAGGCTTACCCAACCTTTTCTCTAAAAGTCGCACGCAATACAATAATAGTCAGAGGTCGGTTTCTTACTATATTTATTTACAGAGAGAAGAGGAGGAAAGGAAAAAGGAGGAACAGCGGAGGGCAGCAGAGGACAGGAGGCAGAGAGAGAGAGAGCGATTGCTCCAAGAAAAGAGAGAGACAATGGAGAGAGATAGGAGGTTGAATGAAAAGGAACAGAAAATAAAGGAGCAGAGGTCGGTCAAACATTCCCCCATGCATAAAATTCCCAAGGGCCAAAACTTTTAAAATCTTTTTATTTTTAATTATTATTATTTTTTTTATAGGAGAATACAGGCCAAAATGGATGCAGAGGCCCACAAACAAGAGAAATTAAAATGGGTATGAATAATGTGTTTCTGCGTGTGTTTACATGCACATGTTTAAAGTTATATATCTACTGTATACATACATATATATCTATATATCTATATCTCTATATATCTATATATCTATATATATATATATATATATATATATATATATATATATATATATATATCAGGAGCACCAGGAAAGGGAGCGTGAAGAAGAGGAAATGAGAGCTAGATATTTCCGCTCTGAATCAGAGGAAAAATGTTCGGTGAGTTCTGTCAATCACACTTAAACCTGCACTTAACGCCTTGCTTAAATTCTGTATATGGCCCATGAATTCAATTCTTTGACATAATAATGTTTATGGCCAGCAGGAGGCAGCAGCTCTTGTGTCTCAGCGTGTTGCAAACACCAGAGAGTTTTTCAGACAACTGTCCTCCACAAGTGTCCACACAGCCTCCAGTCCCAGCTCACCATGTACAGGTAAAGTGTAATAAAATAGAGAAACACAAACAAATCTGTCTTACATTTGAGAACTTATTTTAAAATCCAAAGTAATTTATTTGCATTTTTATGCCAGCACAAGCAGCATTGATGCTATGATCAGAAGTGTTCAAATTGTTATTATATTAGACACAGAACGGTACATTTGCTACATTTATTAATCTAGGTTAATGTTTCTGCAGTGTAAAAAAAGTTATATGATCAGTAAGTTGACAACATATGTTTTTACATTGCTTTAACTTAAAAATAATTAGTTATACAAGATTCAATTCATTTTTTAAAGATAGTTTAATATAATTTTAGTTGAAATGATTGAAAATTGATTGCACTTAATAAATTAAGGCAGCAACTTTGTATAGTGTACATACATTATTTCTACACTACTGATTAAAAATTTGCAGTCCATGTATTTAGGAAATTATTACTTTAATTCAACATTAAATTGGTCAAAAGTGACAGTAAATATTTTTTCATTAATACAAAAGATTAATATTTCAAATAAACGCTGTTCTTTTAAACTGTCTACAACAAAGAATCCTAAAATATTGTATCAAGGTTTTCACAAAAAGCCGCACAACTGTTTTCAACATTGATAATAGGGAAATTTTCTTGAGCATACATCAGCATATTATGATTTTTGAAGGATCATGTGACATTGAAGACTGGATTAATGATGCTGAAAATTCAGTCTTGACATCATAGGAATAATTTGCATTTTAAAATATATTAAAATAGAACATTTATTACAGTATTTACTGTATTTTGATCAAATAAATGCAGACTTGGTGAACATCTTTCAAAATAAAACAATAAAAATTGAATTTTACATTTTAGTTAATCATGTATTATAATGTATTAACTAATAAACAAAAATTTAATGTAAAGTGTTACCAGTTTGGTATAGTGAATTCATAGTAATCAACTGACACATTTGAGTTGTATATAAAAATAGAACCAAAAACAGGGTGTTTGGTAACTGAATGTGCTTGTCTGCTACTTGACGTGTTGACTGATTTACTGATTAGAATGTCGGTAGTCTAGTTTAGTTTGCAACTGTAATTTTTATATTTTAGTTCCATCTGTTTTGAAATCTCTTTCTCATTTTTTGCAGTCAGGGGCCTCTACAGACAACTGCATCGCAGTCAGACGGACAGTATCTTCAATTTCAATGAAACTGCATCCCCGTACAGATCATCATCTCCTTACTTTCAGTCGATTCCCACATCCCAGAACCCAACTCTTTTCACTAACCCCACAGCTTCCTCATTGCAGAATTGTGCAACGGTATCTACAAAAAGCCAGACCCACCTGTCTTCAAGTAAGATAATTGAGTCATGTGCCATAACTGCCACTGGCCCCACGCCACTCCTCCAAACTCAACCCTCTTCAACTGATGCTGATAAATCTGAAACAGAAACTCCTATTGGTGATATACTAGATAGTCTGGTCTTTTATCCACCTCCAGTAACTGCTGAGCAGCTCAAAACTGCGGAATCAGAGATGGTGGATGAGTTTCCTCCACCTCCCTCTAGTTTTGAGAATTCACCAGAACTGGTTGTGAACCAGACTGAGAGACTTGTTGACCCATTAGACACCCCTATGTCATCTCTTGCTCCATCAAATCTTTTGGTACCTGAGCCCCCCGCCAGACCGCTTCCTGCGCTGCCTGTTGCCCCACGAATGCTGAAAGACCTGGAACTGGGGAGAGATTTTACTGCTCGGGCATCTGTTATTCCTACGGTTGAGGAAGATGTGGAGGAAAATAATGAGGAAAGGGAGATTAAAGAAGAGGGGAAAGATGTGCCAGGGAAGGATGGAGAGAGAAGGGGTCAGGAAAAGTGGAAGGAAGGTCAAAAAGAGGAGGAGGAACATGATGGGATGATTATGGGAAAACATGAAAGTGAAAACGAATCTAATGGTAAAATGATTGAAAAACATGAGAGTGGTAAAGAACAAGATGGGAAAATATTGGAAGAACGGGTGAGTGGAAAAGAACAAGATGGGAAAATGTTGGAAGAACAGGTGAGTGGAAAAGAACAAGATGGAAATATGTTAGTAGAACATGAGAGTGGAAAAGAACATGATGAGAAAAAGTTGGAAGAACATCAGAGTGGAAAAGACCAAGATGGGAAAATGTTGGAAGAACATGAGAGTGGAAAAGAACAAGATGAGAAAAAGTTGGAAGAATGTGAGAGAAAAGACCAAGATGGGAAAATGTTGGAAGAATGTGAGAGTGGAAAAGAACAAGATGAGAAAAAGTTAGAAGAACATGAGAGTGGAAAAGACCAAGATGGGAAAATGTTGGAAGAATGTGAGAGTGGAAAAGACCAAGATGGGAAAATGTTAGAAGAACATGAGAGTAGTAAAGACCAAGATGGGAAAATGTTGGAAGAACATGAGAGTGGAAAAGAACAAGATGAGAAAATGTTGGAAGAACATGAGAGTGGAAAAGAACAAGATGAGAAAATGTTGGAAGAATGTGAGAGTGGAAAAGACCAAGATGGGAAAATGTTAGAAGAACATGAGAGTAGTAAAGACCAAGATGGGAAAATGTTGGAAGAACATGACAGTGGTAAAGAACAAGATGAGAAAATGTTGGAAGAACATGAGAGTGGAAAAGACCAAGATGGGAAAATGTTGGAAGAACACGAGAGTGGAAAAGAAAAAAATGGGAAAATGTTGGAAGAACATGAGAGTGGAAAAGACCAAGATGAGAAAATGTTGGAGGAACACGAGAGTGGAAAAGACCAAGATGAGAAAATGTTGGAGGAACATGAGAGTGGAAAAGACCAAGATGAGAAAATGTTGGAGGAACATGAGAGTGGAAAAGACCAAGATGGGAAAATGTTGGAAGAACATGAGAGTGGAAAAGACCAAGATGGGAAAATATTGGAAGAACATGAGTGTGAAAAGGAACAAGATTGTAAAATGATTGATGAATTGGATGCAAAAATACTGCTAGAACAAATGGGAGGAAAAGAGCAAGATGGGATAAATGTGGAGGCATTTGACAGTAAACTAGAACAAGACAGGAAAAGCATGGAAGTATTTGAGACTGCGCAAACACAATATGTGAAAAGAATGGAAGAATGTGGGCAAGAAAATGAGCAAGATAGGGAAATTGGAGAAAAACGTGAGGATGAACATGACGGTGAAAAGGAACAAGGTTGGGAAAATGATGGAAAAATAGTGGGAAAACATGGAAGTGAAGAAAAACAAAATAGGAAAATTGTTGATACGTTTGACAGCGAAAAAGACCAAAATAGGACAATCATGGAAGTATTTGAGACTGAAAATATACAATATGTGAAAATTATGGAAAAATATGGCCAAGAGGATACGCAAGATGGAAAAATTGTAGAAAAATGTGAAAAAGAACATGGCAATGAAAAAGAACAAGATGGGAAAATTGTAGTAAAACATGAAGATGGGAAAAGTCCAGAACACGAGAGTGAAAAAAAGCAGGATTGGAAAATGATAGAAGACAAAGTACAAAAACAAATACAAGATGGAGACATCATAGAAGAACAAGTATTTGAAACTGAAAGAATTAAATATGTGAAAATTATGGAGGACAGTGGACAAGAACATGAGCAAAATAGAAAAATTGTAGAAAAATGTGAGGAAGAATATGAGACTGAAAAAGTACAAGATTTGAAAATTATACAATCACATGATGATGAAGACCAAGATGGTAAAAGTTTGGATGAACAGGATTGGGAAATTATGGAAGAGCTTGAGAGTGAAAAAATGCAAAATACAAATAGGATGTTAGAATATAGAATAAGAGAAAAAGAGCAAGATTGTAAAATTGGGGAAAGCCATGAAGGCAGAAAAAGTCTGGAAGAACACAAAGAACTGAATTGGAAAATGACCGAAGAATATGGGAACATCATGGAAGAACATGAAAGGGAAAAGGGACAAGGTGGGATGATGGAAAAGCGACAGATCCAAGACAATAAACGAATGTCACGTGTGGATGTAGACAGAACAGTGAATGTGACTGTGCTCAGGGAGGAGGAATCATATACAGAGATTATAAAGAGGGATGAGGCTACAGAAGAAGCTGTTGAACAGGTGAAGAGTGACCATGGAAATGAGAAGGAAGAGATGAACACACCTTTAATCCACACAGAAGAATCCAGTGCATTCTCCCAGCATTCACCACTGTTCCCAGAATCCTGTGCAACAGAGCCTCCTCAATGCAATGACACATCAATTCCTGAAAGTATTTTAAGCACTCAAGATAAAATTGAGCCACAGATGAGCTCATCACACCAAATAAACTTACCAACTATTCAGATAAAGACAGATCTTTCCAACCTGAGCATTCAAAGAGATTCAGATGACATGAAAGAGAAGACATATGAATCTGTTAACTCTCAAGCTTCCTCCAAAAACAGCCCAAACGCCTCGTCCGTTGAACGGGTTCCTAAGACAGAAACACAGACTGATCCAGAGGCTAAAATTGTGGACGGCACCAGTGGTTTGGCTGACGGGCTCAATACTGGGTGGGAGAAATCACCTTTATCTGAGAATCAAGCCAGGATTGGACAGTCAGATGAGAGGGAGGGGCTTGTAGCTGTCAGTCATTTCCTCCAAGACCAAGGTAATGATGATGGTGGACTGGATAGATGGTTCTTTAGTCAACATCTTCATATCAAGTAACTTACTATTATACTGTAGATGCCTTATTTAAATGTACATTACTTATCAAAAGTTTGGGGGCAGTAAAACATCTTTTTAATACTTTTAAGGACACATTAAGTTTATCAAAAGTCACAGTAACAATGTTTATAACATAATCTTAAAAAAATATTTCCATTTCATAATCCTGAAAACATATTAATGATTTCTGAAGGATCGTGTGACAATGAAGACTGGAGTAGGCTACTGATGCTGAAAATTCAGCTTTGCTTCACAGGAATAAATTACATTTTAAAATATATTCAAATAGAAAACAGTTGTTTAAAATTGTAGTAATATTTCACAATGTTATGGTTTTACTATAATATTTTTGCTCAAATAGGCTACACACTTGCAGCCATTGGTGCAGAAGAGACTTCTTCCAAACCCAAACTCTGCACGTTTGAATAAATACTCTAATTCTGTGAAATATATGTATAGTTGTTTAAACACTCAATTTTCTTATACATTTCTTTCTGACAGCCAATAGTGATACAAATCTTCCAAGTTTTGAAAAGAAAGATAAAAAACTGATAAAACTTAGACTTCAGAGCATTAAACTCAAAATATGTGTTGGGGTCATAGAGTTTGTTGTGGATGCCAACCGTTTTCTTCCAAATATGACAAATATGAGGATGTTTTGTGACAGGTCCCACTTTAGATTTATGTCACGAAAAATGTTTTTAGGTTTTAAGATAACAGTTCTGTTCTTAGTTCATGTTAACTAAGGTAGTTAAATCAACTAACAAACCTTATTGTGAAGTGTTACCAAAATAATAAAACACATTTTATGTTTGAATAAGAAATGTAAAATGCAGTGTCTTGGTTGATGAGACATTTTTTGGTAACACTCAATGCTCCACTTTATACTCTTTTAACGATAAGTAACTTTTTGCAACTATTGTATATTCTACTGCAAAACTTATGTAACAGTCTATTACAGTCTACTACTACTCTGAGAGTTAATTGACAAGTAGTTGCAGCATCACTTTAAGTTAGTAGAATGTCTAAAGTGGACAATTGAAATAAAGTGTAACCTTTTTTTGTTACTTTGCAGACACTGCAATAGGCCTAAATCATTGTACTCATCAGCTGGATCTGACCAATGATATAAGTGACGTTGAAGAGGGAGAGGAGGCTATATCACTCATTGTCAGGGACACAGAAGTGGAGCAGATCTTAAAATGTGATTCTGATCACGAGAAGGAAGACTTAAAACACAAATTTCTGCAGGATTGTAAAACCACGGAAACACCCTGAAACATGAATGATAAGATCATTAATGAGGAACATTTGGAGATAATCGGTAGGTGTGAGCTGTTATCTCAGAACAGATCATTCTATCAAAGAATGCTGTTTCTGGTTTTGATTGGCATTAATTATTCAACCTCAAGGTGTGGAAGGTAATTCTGTATTGTTGTCATTTCACACCAGGTAGATTGTTTTTGTCTGAGGGGGTGTTTACACGACACCGTTTTCAACTAAAAACTGAACACTTTTTATGCGTTTTGGGAGTCTGAAAACAGAATTTTGAAAACAGGTTTCAAAGTGCAAGTTACTGTTATTGTCTGTGCAAACTACGAAAACGTGAATTTGTGTAAACGGTGACATCATTCCGTTCAGTCTATAGGCACGTAGTTTGTTTACAAAGTGACATCACCAACTACTGGCTGGCCTGGCATGCATAATGCAGGGTTTTTAATAGTTTTCGCAGATCCGTGTGAACGGAAATCGTTTTGACATGGTTTTCGTCTGTACGTGCAAAACGCGAAGGAAAAACATTTCCATTTTTAGTACATCGTTGTCATGTACCAAGTCTCAGATTGTGATATCCTAGAATTCAATAAAACAGCTATAGATAATTACCCCAATTTTGGGATTTAGAGAAAATCTCATCATGACAATTAGAGTAAATCTCAAAAGTGCTTTTACTAGAAGGAAATATAACACTATAATTTTCTACCAAAGTCTACTTAACTCCTCAACCTTAAATTAATTTCTTAAAAAAAAAAACAGAAAATGTAAACTTTCGCAGTAACCCATGAACAGCAAAGGATTCTGGGATAGATAAGACAAAGTCAATCGTAAACAGACAGACAAAGAGGAGACATTTTTTATCAAGTACACCGAGTTCAAATGCTGTTACTCACCTCTCGTCAAATCATTCTCCTGCCAAACATATTAGGCATGCAACAACATACCGGTTTTCTGTTGTTGTGGTTTAGTGTTATGTGATAAAGAACTATAAAAAGTGAGCATTCTAGTGAGCATTTCATTGGACAAAATAAAATACAAATAAATCTGTGTACACTGTAAAAAAATAAAAAAAATAAAGCGTCTGTCTTCAATTTTTAAGTACAATCAACTTGGACGTTTAAGACATTTCAACTTAAATTGCATCAAACTGACTTAAAGCTAAATCTAAAGTTTGTGTGAGTGAGTGTGTGTGTGTGTGTGTGTGTGTGTGTGTGTGTGTGAGTGAGTAATATGTTTGAAGAAATGTCAATGTTTTATAATGTGCTTAGAAAAGCCCAATCAGGGACAGAAGTTGAAAATTAGCATTAGCTAAATAAATAAATAAACAAATAAACAAAAAATACTGGAGATTAACCAATCATGACAGCCAATCATAAGTCTTAAAGATAAAGTAGCAAACAGCCTGTTTTAATTGCAGGTAAAAAGCCTGAGGTCTATATCAGCATCTTTGTTTTTTAACTCTGGCTGCTATGTTTGATGAGACCTGGCTTAGCGAGATCCATGTTTCCATTCAAATCATTGCCGCTTTCAAAATGATTCTGACAGTAGGAACGTTCCCCCTCCTTACGGACAAATGCTGCCATTTTGTAAGCAGACAAGAATGTCAAAAAAATATAAAAAAAAATACAAGGTAACCCTATGGCTGCTTGACATGTCAGACTAGATAAGCTGTGACTATAGATTTATTGAGGAACTGAAATATTAGTTGACTTACCTGTATCGTTTAGCAGTGAATAAGTTATATTGTTGAAACTTTTGTTAAGTGAAACCATTAACCGAAACTAAAAAAAAACATTTTTGTTATAAAATTAACTAAAAATAATAATAATAATAAAAAAAAAAAAAAAATATATATATATACATTTGTATTTATTATTAAAAAAATGTGGGTGTTTCTCAAAACCAAGAATGCAAAGAACTTGTGTTCTTGGGGAGAACGCTCTTGCTAGTTGTTCTGGAAGAATTAACTCACACGGTGACGAGCACACAGAACGCTGCTGACAGTTTGAGACGATGTGTTCTTGCTGGTATTGCGCAATAATACCCCCGCACGTCTGCAGTACACAAACATAACAAGAATTATTGACGATAATAGCCAGGCTGCATTGCATCTCGTTGTCTCTTCACTGTGGGGTAAAACGAGTTTGTGAGCAAACTGGCCGGTTGCCTCGCTAGCTAACTTAGGCCTAACACCCGCAGGCGCTTATGGAGATTCTCACTTCTGAAAACGTCTGAGCACATTTTTGATTCGCCATAAATTGACGTAAAAATGCCAATATTTGAAATCTACACAGTTGATTTCTCGCATCAAATGTTCACAGAAGTGAATTTAGTGATGAAATAGCGTCAGTACGTACTTGTAGAAAAAGAAATTGCTGTATTAACTGGCCTCGAATGGTGAATTGAATGTTGGGATATTTTTGCCGTCAAGTTCACACAAGTTACCAACCGATGCATCCTCGGTAAAATGGGATTTTTAACCATTCTTGCCAAAATGCAAACCTGTGTATTGAGACAGTACTTGGGCAAATATGATATATAATATTTTGCATATGAAAATATGCAACAAAATTAGCTCTTTGAAACCTGAAAATGCCAGAAATGTCAGGAGGGGATTCAGCCTCACTACACCCTGAAAACAATGCATAAACATTCACAAGGGCACTAATGATACTGAAATGTAAGATTATTTTGTTTACCATAAAATAACATAAAATTATGCCTGAAATGAATCAAAAATTGCCTAAATAAATCAAAATATATAATAAAATTAGTTCTTTGAAACCTGAAAATGGCAGAAATGAAATCAGCATCCTCTAAAACCTTGAAAACCTTCCACAAATTGTAGAAATTGGCCATACAGTGAAACATATCTGGTCAAAATGGACGATTAAACCAATAATGCTAATTATGCAAATTTCCGGCAGTTTCTGTATGCTGAGGACCCATACTTCACATTTCTGCAATAAAATTTTGGTGTACTCAACATTTCCAGGTTCACCTAGTAGACTACATTCAGATTCACCAATCGGAATGAATTCGGTTAGATTGAAACAAAAGGTGTGCATGTAAACAATGAATGCTGACTGCAGAAAGCAAAAGCTGTACAATTATAATACAATTCTAAGTTATAAGTAGCTACTGTATACTGTAGACTACTGTTTTTATTTCTAAAACGGTTTGAAAAGTAAAAATGATCATCAAATATTCATCTTTAACTTGTCAAAGCACACCTTTCCTTAGTAACTGAAACTTTCAGTTATTCTTGATCGGCTGGCTGACCGTACAAATATTCATATTAGCATTTATAAAAGGGAAATTACATTGTAACACATGAAAATGTATAATATTGTTTAAAAAAAAAAGTGAATCTGCACATGCGCACAACCATGTAAGTAGCAAAACTCAGTGGGTAGCATGAATCGTCATAACACCAGACATGTTCGGGAAAACGAGGATGCTAACCGCTACTACTCAGCATTCTCCACTGAACAAGAGCCTGCTAGCTTAGCTTCCAAAAACTAAATTCTCGTTATTATTAGCATACATATTACTAGGATATTGGCTCTTTATTAGTACTTATAAAGCACATATTAATGCCCTATTCTGCATGACCATATTCTACATCCCTTAATCCAACTCAATACCTAAACTTCAACGCTACAAAAATGACCTTATTAACTATTAATAAGCAGTAATTAGGAGTTTATTGAGGCAATAGTCATGGTTAATAGAAAATATGTTCCCTATACTAAAGTGGTACTGTATGTTAAAAAATTACAGAAAAATGTTTGTTTCAAAAGATTTCTGTTCATCAAAGCATCCTGAAAAAAACAGCATAATCCTTTTCAACTATGCTGAAAGTTCAGCTCTAACATATGGGTTTTTTTAAACATATATACTGTGTGTTGTGCGTTTATAAGTTCACAGGTCAATCATTGCTATTGTATTCAATCAATAGTGAATGCAAAATAATTGCAATTACAAATAATATAAAGAATATATTCTTAAAAAAACATTCAGTTTAGGAATTAGTTGTGTATTTTTTGTTTAGTATCAGTTCTTGCTGATGAAGATGAAAGATTAATTGCAGTTTCTGTAATACATCAAAAAATGTACTTAAACTAAAGCTCTTAAAGCAAATGTAGTCTAACTATAGCCGTGAACTTGAATTGTAACATTTCTAAGATGTCTCTGACAGTAAAGGCATAGGAAATGGTCTTATGTAACACCCAGACCTTTGTGTTGATACAAATAAATTTTATTTCTAAAAATGTAGCTTGGAATGTAGCCAAATAGAGTAAAAACTTTCCTCAAAAATATAAGACCAACTGATAATTGATAACAATAATTGTTTCTTAAGCAGCAAATTAACAGAATGATTTCTGAAGGATCATGTGACACTGAAGACTGGAGGAATTATGCTGCAAATTCAGATTTGCAGGAATAAATGTCAATTAAAAAAAACATTTAAAAAATAAATTTAAAAGAATGCCGCTTTGGTGAGCATAAGAGGCTAAAAAAACATTCAAATATATTACAGTAACAGAACCCAAACTTTTCAACTGTATTCTTATTAATTTATCCATTGCATATTTTTTTCATATATCACTTTTGCAACTGATCATAATTCTCTCCATCTCTTTCATGCAGCAGATACCATGGGGACTGTGCACGAATCATAGAAGAGACAGATGACCAATAGATGTTTCTCTCAGCCAATCACTGGGGGCCTTTCAGTGATTTACTCACAATTATTCTCATATGCTCACAATACTGCAATATACTGTATAGCACATGTTCAGAACTGTGTCCACATATGCACTTAATATACAATAGCGTTCAAAAGTCTCAGACCAGTTTTAAAGGGATAGTTCACCCCAAAATGTTTACTCAACCTCATGCCATTCCTGATATTAAGACAGTCTACTAATTCTCTATTTGGAGTTCATTGACATAGTTGCAAAGTTACTTATAATTAGCAATATGTCTAAAGTGGTCCATCAAAATAAAGCGTTACCTAAAGACACATTTCTCAAACTATGCTAGAGGGTGTTGAACTCTATTGAAGTAAAAAGACATACCTATTAAGTCATCACAAATTCATGTTTTCTATTCAGATTTCCACTCAAATTACTATATTGCTAATATCATTTTAACTGAAAAAAAAAGAGTTCACTACATTAGAAAGGAAAAAAATTACATTGACTTCAGTGTAGGTTATGAATAGTTTCGTAGCATATTTGTATTTACTATTAATTATTCCTTTTAATGAACTATGTTGAATGTATCTAAATATGTTGTGCAAGGCATATTCATGCGATTGATCTGTATGTTTAGAACTTAAGATGGATCTATTTCCAAAAGAATACAAGAAATGAATATGTTTTTTGAGTCATCCTGTCAGCTGTTCATATGACTGAAATGAAAATTGAATTACACCAATTAACAAATGGATTACAGTGCAATAGTGCAAACTTTACAACGTTCTCTCATATTGCTAGAAAAATCAAATCCAAGAACACGTTCACTACAAGTACTGTAATGTTGATGCAGGCTTAAAATTCACCACAGGCATTGTAAAATTCATTGGTATTCGGCTTTGAAAACAGATCTTGTCACAATTTTGTTAATCTGATACTGGTAATTATGAGAACCTTTCGATAGCATATTTGAAATGCTTTGGACACCTACGTCATTTACTGAAAACTGTCAGACAATTATTTGAGTTATTTGTTCAAGGAGGGTGTGGTGGCATATGCATGTGTCAAGAATATTAATCTGATTATGTATAAATAATATAATATGATCTTTATGGCTTTGAAAAGTGTTTGTGATGTAAAATCATTTACAAATAAAGACTGACATAATAAAGCTCTGGAGTCATTGTGGCACCAGCTGCTGAAGTAAATGTGGCATATTCAAATGACATTGACAGTTTTTTTTATATCCTCTGGCATACATCCCATTTGCAATGTAAAATACACAATTGGTCATCGCAAAAAGGGCAAAAATGTAAAGTCAGAATTGCGAGATATAAAGTCAGAATTGTGAGATATAAAGTCAGAATTGCATGATATAAAGTCGCAATTGCGTATTATAAAGTCAGAATTGTGAGATATAAAGTCAGAATTGCATTATATAAAGTCGCAATTGCGTGTTATAAAGTCAGAATTGTGAGATATAAAGTCAGAATTGCATGATATAAAATCGCAATTGCGTGTTATAAAGTCAGAATTGTGAGATATAAAGTCAGAATTGCGTGATATAAAGTCGCAATTGTGTGTTAAAAAGTCAGAATTGCGAGATTTAAAGTCAGAATTGCGTGAAATAAAGTCAGAATTAAGTGAAATAGTCAGAATTGCGAGATATAAAGTCATGATTGCTAGATATAAAGTCACAATTACGTGTTATAAAGTCAGAAATGCATGATATAAAGTCAGAATTGTGAGATTTAAACTATTCTGAGGGGGGAAAAGTTAGTCTTTTTCCCCCCTAGAATTAGCCGGATAACTCGCAATTGCGAGCTTATATCTCACAATTCTGAGAAAAGGTGTCAGAATTTCGACATATAAACTCGCAATTATGTGTTATAAAGCCAGAATTGTGAGATAAAAAGTCGCACTTCTGTCTCTTTTTCTCAGAATTGCGACTTTCCATCACGCAATTCTGACTTTATATCTCGCAATTCTGACTTTATATCTTGCGATTCTGACTTTATAACACGCAATTGTGAGATAAAAAGTCGCAATTATTTTTTCTTTTTTTTTAGTCAGTGGCAGAAACAAGCTTCCATAGGAAACTATGGAAGCTCAACGCATTTTCACCCCAAGGCGTCACCTTTGACCATGCTTCAATATTTGACGCTTTAGGCGCCCTTTAGCGTCAGTTACATGACGCGATCCTACGGCGTCATCTGATTGACGCTAAAGGAAAGCGTCAGTTAGATGACGCGGTTAGGTTTAGGTCTGGGGTGGGGGTAGGGTTACATGCGATCCTAGGGCGTCATCTAACTGACGCTAAAGGCCTAAAGCATCAGATATTGAAGCATGGTCAAAATGCTTCCCAAGGCGTCAGTTAGGTGACGCCTTGGGGGTGAGAATGGGCTGGGAAGCTTGTTTCTGCCATAGAATGAAAAATATAAAAGGTAATTGCAACTTTTTATCTCACAATACTGACCTTTTTTTCTCACAATTGCGAGTTTACTTCTCACAATTCTGACATTATTTCTCAGAATTGCGTGACATAAAGTCGCAATTGCGAGATATAAAGTCAGAATTGCGAGATATAAAGTCAGAATTGTGAGATATAAAGTCAGAATTGCTGGATATAAAGTCGCAATTGTGTGTTATAAAGTCAGAAATGTGAGATATAAAGTCAGAATTATGAGATATAAACTATTCTGAGGGGGAAAAAAGTCTTTTTTCCCCCTCAGAATTGGCCTGATAAGTCACAATTGCGAGAAAAGATGTCAGAATTTCGACATATAAACTCGCAATTATGTGTTATAAAGTCAGAATTGCGAGATGTAAACTCACAATTGTGAGAAAAAGTCAGAATTGTGAAATAAAAAGTCCCACTTCTCTTTTTTTCTCAGAATTGCGACTTTATATCACCCAGTTCTGACTTTATATCTCGCAATTCTGACTTTATATCACACAATTCTGACTTTATATTTAGCAAATCTGACTTTATATCTCGCAATTCTGACTTTATATTTAGCAATTCTGACTTTATATCACGCAATTCTGGCTTTATATCTCACAATTCTGACTTTATATCATGCATTTATGAGAATTGTGAGATAAAAAGTCACAATTATTTATTTTATTATTATATTTAGTGGCGGAAACAAGCGTCCATAGGAAACTGTTGTAAACGAGTTTTGGAAAAAGATGCTGCCAGGAAGCAGGTTTAAGATTTACTGTCAATCATGTAATTGTCTCACGTTGCTAATCAGGATCAGAGAAAGAAATGAGGAAATTCTGCTCTGCATGTTTATTTATTTTCAAGGGGAGTTTCTTGTTAAATCTATATAAGTTCCTCAAACGTAAATAGTTTTGGTACATTGCAATCAGCAGGAATCTAAGTAATTTAGTTCCTTAATTATGCATCATTTCCTTTTAATTAATGTAGTAACGTGCAACTACGTCACCTCTAAATAAAGTGTTACCGATAACACCGACTTCTTACCAGCTGCTAAAAGGTGATTTTAGTGAATGTACTGTGGTATTTTGTCTTCCTTTTGAAAAACATATCTATTTTGTATTATTTAAAACATAAGCTTATATCTGTGACATGTTTTGCTTAAAAAGTGTAATATCTCATTTGATTTAAAACCTTTATACCTTATTAAGTTTGCATTACTTTCTGGAGCCTAGGCTTATAGAGTTTCCAGCAGCCGGTGTTTTTGTTTTCAATAAAAAAACAAAACAGGTTTTTCAAGACAAGAAAATTTTGGTATTATTGTAGTGCATACCCTTAAATATATGGTAAAGTGTGGAAAAACAACACAATAGTCTACTGACAAAAACATGTCAACACTGTCGCACTTCAGGTGTTAAGTCTGACAAGCATCACTAAAAATGAATGCTTTTAAACATGATGAATGGGCTCATTTTAACACTGTTTTCAGCATTCCTTTCAAGAAGTTGACAAATAATAGGGTTAAACATGCGAAAGTCGAGACATAATTCCATTCCAAGCTGTCTCTGTTTCTATTTGTATAGTGACATATTTTCCACTCAGGTTACTATTAAGGAGGGAAGAAAGGGGAAAACAGGTTCTATTTGAGGTGTTTTTTTAATGATCTGCAAATGAGAAAAATAATCCCAATTGCCAACTGAAGATGAAGCCTCACGACTAGACGGCGGCCAGTGACGTACATGTAAGTAAGTAAGAAAGGCGGCCAAGTTTAAGTCTGCCATAAACCACAAGAACTTCTATCTGTCCAACAAAACTGTATTGTCTAGCCATTACACATAAGAAGAATTGTTTCATTCAGACTACAATGAGAGATCAAAAGGAGACGCTTGCGTAAGTCTCAGACTTCTTACATTTTTACCCCCGTAAATGTGGTTGTTCACCCAAAAATTAAAACCATTGAAAATCACTTACTCACCCTAATGTCATTGCAAACACAAATACAAACTTCACTACTGTACTTAAGTAATAAAAAAGACTGTATCTTTACTCTACTAGAGTATTGTTTTTTTCTCATACTTCTACTTTTACTTCAGTAGATATTTTCGCTGAGTTTAATACTTCTACTTTGATATTTTTTTTAATGTTTTGCTAGTTACTCGTTACAATTGTGTTACAAAAATGTTACGAATCCTTCCAAACCCGCATTATTGTTGCCAGAGCGGTAGATGGCTCTGTTATTAGGTTTGATGAAGTTGGCTTTCATGCTGCTAAAATCACACGCCCGTTTTAGGGTAATGGTATTGATTGACACAGACATTGACAACTAATGCAGCAGACTGATCTCATGAAATGCCGTATTATGACACACCAATTTGTATTTCTATTTTTGGCGTGCTATCAACATGCATAATCGCTTTTCAGCGAGTTTATGAACGCAGTTGACTTAACGTTACATTACTGTATAAATATATGACCTACCCCAACCTCGTCCTAGGAAAAAAAAATATCGTTCCCAAGATGTAGATCTACATTTTGCTTCGTTTCGCTCAGACATTTAACAGCGTGTATATATGCGCGGAATCACTGGCGTAGACATACACGCATACACGCGGATAGCTCAAAATGCGTATAGGTAACACACCACTTGACTTGAAAGTGTCGTGTATGTTTACGCAAAGTCATGATGCCATGTTTTCCTGCAATGACATTTTTTTGGTGGTCGCCAAAGCAAATTTTTATCCTGCCAAAGCACCTTATTTGATTTCTAGTTCAAACTTTTGACTGCTTTCTTTAATAATTACATGACACAATACTTGTACTTTTAGTACTTAAGTAGTGAATTTTAAAATAAACTACTTGCAATACTTAAGTACAAAAATATTGAATACTTAAGTACTTCTACTTAAGTGTGGTGCTTAAAGAGCACTTCAACTTCTACCTAAGTGATTTGTTTTTTGATAGAGCACTTGTACTTTAACTCAAGTCCGGGTTTCTAGTACTTTATACATCTCGGCTCCATTGACTTAAAACATAATCAAAACAAATCTTTTTCAATTTCCATATTTTTCTATTTTTTTGTCTCAAACTGTGCTCAGAAGTGCCGTGATACCAAAGTCTTCTATGAAAAGATTTCAAAATGTAAAAAAATAGGAGCTAAGCATGCATTCCAAAATGAATGTAGCCTACACTTACTATATTTATTTTTTTATAATTTTACCAGACTAAGTTGTTACTTGAGAAATTGTCCAGAGCTACACATTAAAAAGCAACACGTGAGCAAGACCAGTTATATATGATGTATAAAACTGAACAATGGTCATCTAAAAGGAAATTTATATCATTAAAAAAAGGTCATTTAAGTTTCACTGTAAATCTGACTAAGAATAAATGTTAATTTTATTGATATAAAACTCCACATTACTGTGGAATGCAATGTCATTAAAACTCGGACAATGTCAGGGTGGGGACATCATTTCATGTGGTGTTAAAAAGATAAAGTAATTAGTGAGAAAAATGATGACAAATTTCTCCTGGGAAAAACAAATCTTGATGCCGAATATATTAACGTAATAATCTCAGAGTAATTGTCAGCGATATTTAAACTTAAGTTGGCATTTGTCTTCAGAACAGGAAGAACCTGTTCAACTTAACATTCCAAACAGGAAGACGGTTGAAATGACATCTCAGTGCTATGTGACCATGATTTCATTCTGGTGTAGAGAAACGGCATGTAGGCATCACGAAGCGCTTGTGTGAAACAAACCGCTCGCTTAGTTTGCTAAGGGCCAAAAAACTTGGATAAACTTCCTCTGGATTCTACTTTCCTCTCTGCTAAGGAACTATCCAGTAATCCATCATACAACTGACACAAATCTAAAGAGATACAGGTAAGACAAAGTGGATGAATGAAGGGTCACGTGCACTCTTAGAAGAAATGGTTCTATTTAGAACCAGAAATGGTTCCATACCCGCTTCATATATGGAACTTTTTTGGTAAAAGGTTCTATTGGCCAAGTATGGAACCCCAGGGTTCTATAGAGGAACCCTTTTTTAAGAGTGTATAGAACCTTTTAGGGGTTCCAAATACATAGCGCTGATAGAACCTTTTAAGGTTGTATAGAACCTTTTTTTCTAAGAGTGCTGCAGCTACAGGTCAAGTTTACTCTCTCTCTCACTCACTCTCTCTTGTTGTTTTGGACCCCATTGACTTTCATTGTATGAACAAAAGCAAATTACTGCAAGTACTGGTTCTTTTAAATCTCTGAAAAGATCATAATACATTGGTAATACAATAAACAAAATCACAATTGATTGTCTTCAACTGTTTACATTATGATTAAAGATGAATAGTATGTAAGAATCTGCTCAGAGTGAATGCTAATCAGTCACTGTCAGTGTCAGATTAGCGCGTTGCTAATGTGACAAACACATTTCTTGAGTTAAGTAATTGCTTCCACAGCTTTGTTCATGCACACCATTTAAAGGCCTGACAATGTTTGGAGCTTATGCATCACATCGTAGGGATCAGAAACAAACACTTAAATTATCACAATTTTACTAAATCCATCACTGGTTTAGAGTTGTTGTTTTTTTTAACATGAGATTACAGTAAAGATTATGAGCAAGAAAGAAGACTGTACTTGTGCGTGTTAACTTTCAACGCTTTCCAAACATGCCTCAAGAAAATCAAAGATGAAGGAAATATGAGAACAAGTGTCAACACAAAGAGATTTAATATTGCTGTCAAGCCGCCTTTTCTTCTCGTGCGCGGATAAGCATCATGTGCGTCAGAGTTTAGATTAGATACTGTCAGTAACAAGTCATGGTACACAGAGTGCTTGAGATAGTCTAGGTGTATCTAGATCTGTCACAATTAAGAGATCAATCTGTCAACTTGAGTTGGGCACATAAAACTTAGGATGGAACAGGAAGAAAAAAAAAATGTGGAAACTGTTGTAAACGAGTTTTGCAAAAAGATGCTGCCAGGAAGCAGGTTAAAGATTTACTGCCAATCATTTCATTGTCTTAATCAGGATCAGAGAAAGAAATGAGAAAATTCTGCTCTGCATATTTATTTATTTTCATGGGGAGTTTCTTGCTATATCCATTTGTTCCTTAAAAATAAATATTTTTGCTACATTGCAATCAGCAGGAATTTAAGTTACTTAATTATGCATCATTTACTGTTAATACTATTAAGCACATGTAGTAACGTGCAACTACGTCACCTCTAAATAAAGTGTAGATCTGTCATAATTAAGATATTAATCTGTCGACTTGAGTTGGGCACAAAAATCTTAGGCCAGTGGAAGGTTTGATTATATCTCATCGCCGTTTTAGGGTACCCTTTAACTCTAAGTAATCCTAACCCTACCCCAGACCTAAACCTACCTACGTCATCTAACTGACGTTAGAGGTAAAGCGTCAGCTGGATGACGCCCCATGATCGTCATCTAACTGACTTTAAAGGGTATCCTAAAACGAGTTAAGAGTTAACAGGTTAACTCTGCATCTTTTACTTGCATCATTTACACAAAATAATTTGGTGAAATTAACTAGACTGATAATTAGGGATACATCAAGTTTGATTAAGACAAAATTTTAAGAAACAGGCCTATTATAATTCCGTAATTGAAGGCATTAAAAATAACACAAAAATATAGTCAAATATATAGTTTGTCTCTAAATATACACTAAAGTTTGAATTTGCTGAATTTGTTTCTCATGAAATTAAAAACCTCTCAATCGTAAAGCTTAACATAAAATGTGTCCACTTTAGAATTTCTTTGCAAAACCATGTTTTATTATTATTTTGATTATTATAAATTTGTTTGATTGGATGATTTGAAGCATACATGCAAACTTCTTCAATACTGTTAAAAATTAAGTTTGAATTAGAGCATAATGACAATGCTTGTGTGATTTCATTGCTTTGATTGCATTAATACTATGCTAAATTGTGGAGCATAATAATAAAGTAAAAAGTGTGTCCAAACTTTTCACTGGTAGTCTATCTGGATAATATTAAGCATGCTGATACTGTATTGCCAGGTTAGCATGATGGAACGGGACGGCCTGCAGGAGAGGAGCTCAGAACTGGGAGAGGAGATGACAGAAGAGAGATTCCTCAAAGACCTCTACCTCTTTATGAAACAGAGAGACACACCAATTGAGAGAATACCTCATCTCGGCTTCAAACAGAGTGAGTGAGAGAGACAAGTGAATGTAGCGCAGTGAACTTATCTCTAAAACAAGCTTATTTCAGAGTATTAAAATCGGCTTTTCTTTCCCTTTTCAGTCGACATGTTCCTAATGTACAAGACAGTGAAGGAGCTGGGAGGCTATCAACAGGTAAATACTGTAGATATTTACATTGAAGACAACTTCGTCTTGGGGCCCTATTTTAACTATCCGAAACACAAGTATCAACTTTGGGGGCGGGTCTTGGGCGCTGTTGCTATTTGGTTTGTGAAATAAACCAATCAGAGCCTCATCCAACATACCCTTTAAGAGCAGGGGCGCATGTTGCATGACGGATGGTTAATATACGGGCGGGTTTACCAGGCGCGCGCCAGGATTGTTCACAGCCGTTGAGACCGCCGTTCAGTGAAAGACAGAGAGGTGACGTTGTATGCATGGGGAAGGGAGAAACCCACCCAAATCAGCGTCGGTTAAACATTATATACATATGTTTCTTGCCACTATTGGGCAAACAGGTCTGATCCTTCAGTACTACAATTAGCCTTAAAAAAATTGGGTAATTGAGTTTTTTGCACCTACATGTAAACCACAATGATTTCCCTCATGTGTTCATATTTTTCCTTGTTAATGTATGATTTGCAAAAATAAAAACTGCTGCATCTGTGTTGATGAGAGAATCAAAGTGTATGCGCGTTGTGCACTACATTATGGCCAAGCATGCGAGCTTAAATTAGCATTATGAACAAAGCGCAATGTGACTTTAGACCCGTTTTTTTTCTGGTCAGTGGCGCAATTGTTTTCTGGAACTGCAAAATAGCACCAGGGAATGTTTGTGCCGAAACACGCCTCCTTTTTGCGCCGATCTGCTCAGGGAGCGCAAGTTCATTCCCTAGTTTACTGACGTGTGTCTGTGGAGGGAAAAAGCCCGCTTTGCGTGGGTGCAAAATAGGAATGAGACATGCGTCAGTGTACAAAGTCATTTGCGCCGGGTGCAAGATAGAGCCCTTGGACTTTCATATACAAATTTCATGAGAATTTTTAGATCGTTTATTTTCCCATGTCTTTGTTTACGCAAAAACCCCATCGGCTATTTAATTATTTTTTGCTTCCTTACAGCATCTTCCATCATGTGATTTCTTTTATTTTAAGTAACCGATTGCATACTTCAAATAGCATTACAATGAACAACTTCAGATAACTCCAAAGTGTATTTGTTGACTTTTATGTGCCAACAATAAATAAACACGTCCTGTGTGTGTGTGATCTCCAGGTTACTACACAGCAGTTGTGGAAGAAAGTTTACAACATACTTGGAGGAAACCCACGCAGCACCAGTGCAGCCACCTGCACTCGTAGACACTATGAAAAGTAAGTGCATGTAGCCTTAAGGCCAATTCACACAGACAATTTGTCAGGTTTGAACATGTGGAAACGTCGTTTGCCACTCATAGAAAGCCTGAGAAGTGACATGCAGTAATCTGGTGACTGCCGCCAGTGTGAATTGGCCTTTAGACAGCACCTGCTTACATTTTCAATAGTAAAAATAACATTAATAAGATACTTATTCAAAAACATTTTAGTCACACACCTCTCCTTCTCCAACCAGGCTACTTCTACCTTTTGAGTGTCACCAAAGTGGATACAGGGACGACATTGTCTTCAGGACGCCTCGATTACAAAAGCACTTCCAACCCAGCAGTTTCAACGACTTTGAGCATGAATACCCCAGGACTGGCAAACGGGCAGATTTCCGACACCTACCGGCATTCCCTCAGGTATGACATCTAAAAAGCATAATATATTAAACGTTTTTCTCACAACAGCCTTCTAGAAATGGAAAGGGTTTTATGATAGCATTATTCAAACTCTACTCGTTTATTTTTCCTCTTAAGGCCTCTCCGAACATGTTAATGGAGCATCAGAGACCGATTTTTAACATGCCTTTGAATGTTGCTCCATACTTCCCACACGGAAGTACACATCTACCCAATTATATCGCTCTTCGAGAATCTACACGGCCCCACCTAAGCTTCAATCCTTCTCAAGACCTTCCCCGTAGGCCTGTCTCAAACTTGGGCGCGTCCTCTATGGAAGTTCATATCTGCGATCAGTCACTTGATAGGCTACGCCACCTGGCTAAAGAGTACAAGTCATCAACCGGTTTGGAGGAACCCCTTAACCTCAGTCGGAAAGAAAACAGTCTTGAGACACTGAGTCACACACCATCATCTTTCGGCCCACCTCCCTCTAAAAAGCCCAAGTTCCTCAACGAAGCCTCTCCTCTTTACACTCCAAGGGGTTTGACGCCCGAAGAAGGAGCAGAACAAGGGGAAGAAACTTCCTCAGGAGAAGGAGAACCAGGGAATGTCCGAACAGGACCGAGCCCGGTGATGTCTGAGGTCATTGATCTCACATCCTCTTCCAAAGCCAATCCAGTCCCACGTAGAGCAAGTCCTCCTTCAGTGAATCTTTTCAATCGTAGAGTGAGCTACTCCGAAGCGTTCTCTATGAAAGCACAGGAACGAGACCACTATGCGGACTGGTTGAAAGAAGAGTCTTCTGGTGCACCAACACCTAAGTTAGGAGGGATCTTAAACCAAAGCAGTACCCTTGGACACCCACCCCTTGATTCCAACGGCAAAATGGAGATCCAGATTCCTCTAAAGCTTCTAAATGAGCTCATTAGGAGAGGACTGGTTTCCAACGGGTCTGTTTCTCAATGCCCAACCAAAGCTGAAGCACAACCTGAGCACAAGATATACATGCGATCAAGCTCAGATGCATCTGAGAGTTCCACCACATGCGAGGAGCCAACCAATTTGAGACTGAAGAGCCCTTTCAGAAACCTTTCAGATACTATCCCTCAAGATAACGGTATAAAGAAGCACCGACTCGTCAGCGGCAATGGCATCTCAGCAGAATCAAAGGCCCAGATGATGAGCTCTTATTATGTAAACAACTCTCTCAAGCACTCTCTGGATAGGGATATACACAAGCCCTCTCAACCTAAACAGACACAAGCTCCTTTGACATACAACCATGAAAGCATGAACCCCAGACCCCACAGTTACAGTGAAGATACTCCATTCTCTTTGACCATAAAACCTGGAAGAAAGTCAGAGAAAGTTATGGAAACATCTAACATTGTGACAAAGGATATCTTGACTTCACCAGCTTTGACATCAGAGCACCTCAAATTTCTTCTGGCAAACCTGCCCTATAGACTGGAAAGGGGGCAGACATTTTAACCTTGGCCAACGTCGTAATCTTGCCTAATCGGACACTTGCGTTGCATCACTCAAGTCAAGGATTTCTGAAACGATGAACTGAAAAGAGAAATGTTGAGGATGGACTTGACGGATGTTTTGCAGTGATTAAACCTTTTGTATAAAATGTATATAGATCTATATGAAAAGGGTCAGCTCAGGGAAAAAAGTCCCTGTAAATACCCTTGATTTGTAAGACTGTTCAAATAAGCAAAGTTACATTTTTAAAAACTTTTTAGCAAGTCTTTATGAAGAAGCACTGATATTGGCAGCAAAGCATAGAGCTGTTTTGAAGTTATTTTTTATATTGTATTTTTTTTTTTAAATGTATATAACCCTGATCATTTGATTTTGTCATTTTATTTAGCAATTCTTGCTATTTCTTTAATGGAAAAACAATAATTAAAAAAAAAGTACAGTACAATATCACATAAAATTTGCTCCTGAATAAATAAGAGAATTACATCACTATAATATACTGTTACAGTTGAGATATCCAAATGATTTCCAAGAAGCAAACAGAATGAACCATTTAGATAAGGTGTTGTGATTGTTTCCATTATTTTTGTACTGAATATGAAACTCTTGAGATACAGCACCTCTGAATTTCTAGGAATTTAGGTATCATATAGACAAGTTGTTTTACTGGTTGCACAGGAACCTACTAGAATATCATACACTCAGCTCTTGAAACATGCATATCCCCCTTCACACATAACTTCCTTCACACATAAGCAAAAAAATAAAAAATAAAAAAATACATCCAAACACACAGCCACAAAAAGCGGTGGGTTTTTCAAACATTCATTTTATTATCATGGCACTATCAACACAATTTGAGACCACAATTGTCATATACATAAAGAAAAAACAGATTCATCATACCTATTGTCAATAGAGCCTATCTTTCCAGCTATCATTGATTACCTGCTATTAATCTTGATGAATCCAAAATTAAAATCCAGTAAGATTTAGTGGGGTCATGTTCAAATTGATTTGAAACGTTGTTGAGTAGGTTGATTTGACATTAAGGAAGTAAAAGTCATGCTCCTAACATAGATTTTTTTTTAATTTGCTACCTGTCAAACAAAGAATTTACAGTACGTGGTTGCTCAATTCTCAAATTTGGTTGCTCAATTCTCTATACTGGGCCTTGGGTGATTCAATAATTACTAGTAAAAAACAAACAAACACTTTAATCTGTCAAACTCTTGTCATGTAGGATTTACATAGCTTGTAGCAAGTAAAACTGTTTTCAGCAAATTCTACAGGATCGTGAGTGATTTTAATCCAGCAAAACATGTAATGGAAAGTTAAAGGGCTGTAGAATCAAACAGTGCTCAGTAATGGTCTGGCTCTTTAAAATATTTGCACTAAAAATATGATGCAGTACATGTACAGCATTTTTTTCAGACCTTAACAATTTTAAACTGAGAAATAACTACATCAGAAAAAAAAACATTTAAAAAACTTTTATAACATAAACCTACTTCAAATGATTAAACAGCAACTTCTTATTTTTTCCCCAACAATTTCCTTTCTGTTGTAACACTCCACAATAATGAATTCAAAATCAAACATCAAAGTTAGCTTTTTAAAGAACTAATTGATTGATTGATTGATATTGATAAATTCACTGATTGATTGATTTTTGTAAGTCGCGACAGTCATCTAATATTAGGGTTAAAGGAGTAGTTCACTTTTCAAAAAACTTTTGCTGATTATTTACTCACCCCCATGTCATCCAAGATGTCCACGTCATTCTTTCTTCAGTCGAAAAGAAATGAAGGTTTTTGATGAAACCATTCCAGCATTGTTCTCCATATAATGCACTTCAATGGGAAATGGTTCAAGGTCCAAAAGACACTTTCAGTACAAACTGCAAACTTTTCAAAGGGCTTTAAACAATTCCAGATGATGAATAAGGGTCTTATCAAGCGAAACGATCGCTCATTTGAAAAATAAATAAAAAAGTTTTAAGTTTTATAAGCTGAAATGCTTGCCTTGCTCTATTCTGTGACGCACGTTTGTGACTCTCTTATTCGAACTCGTTCATCAAAATGAACGACTCTTTTCGTTCGTTCTTTTCGAATATTTTTCTGAGTCAATTCGTTCGTTGTATGAACCAATTGACTCCGAAAAAGATTTGTTCATTTTGGTGAACGAGTTTGAACAGGAGAGTCACAAACGTGCATCACAGAACAGAGCAAGGCAGGCATTTGAGCTTATAAAACGTAAACTTTGTCATTTATTTTGCAGTTTGTACTGAAACTGTCTTTTGGACCTTGAACCACTTGGTTCCCACTGAAGTGCATTATAAGGTGAAAAATCCTGGAATGTTTTCATGAAAAACCTTCATTTCTTTTTGACTGAAGAAAGAAAGACATGGATATCTTGGATTACATGGGGGTGAGTAAATAATCAGCAAACGTTTTTTCAACTACTCCTTTAATTCTGTGAACATGACAAACAGTATTAGGCCAATAAGGTATCTGGTTATGAAGAACTTCTGTGTGCATTTTGAATTTGGACAAATAAACAGGCCTATGAAATTTCAACAAAACAAAATCTGTTGTATTGGGGTGTGTTGAGCTGTGCACAAAACAGGTTTTTCCTTTATTCCTGTTCAGTCCTTTCAGTAACTGAAACAAAGAAGTAGAGAGAGAGAGTGAGTGGAATAAACAAATTAATTATATTGAAGAAATTGTGTGGTCATGCACACATCTTGAATTACGGGAAAATTTAAACTGGAAAAGTCACTCTTTGAGAAATAAATCATGTACATGCATGTTTGTTTGTTTTTAATTATGTTTTGGGGCATTTTCACGTTCATTAGATTTAGGAGACAGGAAGGCATAGGGGAGATGTGAGGGGCCCAGAGGACTATGGCTCCAACGTGTATGTTAGTGTTTGTGAATACATTTAATCCATAATATGTTTTAAAATATAACTCAACATACATTTTTCTGATAATGACTCATAATTAAACCCCAGATAAAGTCACTTGAGGATGAATTGCAATCACAAGTTAATCACAAGTTTGCTGCTTCGGTATTTGGAAATTATTTTTCCACACCTTTCTATGGTATGCTGGCAAACAATGATAAGCATTTCACAAGCTTTAAAGGCTTTTATTGGCAAAGGCTTTCAATGTATGCCAAGAGCCAAAATTTACCCCTTCTTCATAACCTCTGTAATTTATGCTGGCATTGTGTATTTATGGGAGTGTTTTCAGGTGGAATTACGAGAGATGGGGATGTCAGATTTTCCTTACACGAACATTGTGGCCACAATAATGCACAATATCAATTAGGGGTGTAACGATACCCTTATGTCACGATTCGATACATATCATGATACGATATTATTGCGATACTCCAAGACATATGATAAAAGGTTAACAAAAAATGTACTGTTGATTAAAATACTAAATTTGATATTACAATGTGGATTTTAATGAATAGGTTTTGGACAAGGACAATGGTGACACCAGAATAACAATATTCATGATTCTGAAGCTAAAAATCGGTCACTGACAAGATATATTTAAAATAATGTTGGCCACTTTTTACAGGTAACATGAGATATTTGGCATTATCAGGACCCATTGCATTATTATACATTATATTCAAAGTTATATAGTAGTTTAATGTAGTAATGACACTAAAACTCTGAAAACTTGAATTTTTTTCTCACACACAGTAATTTCTATTTTGGGGGAACTATCCACGAGACATATTGTCACTATCCACGACACGTATTGTTACATTTTTGTATTGCGATATATTGTGGCACGATACAGTGATGTGAATAAGTTTGGACACCCATGCTAAAGTTGCCTAAAAAGAGGAATAAAAAAATCATCTTTTGGATATTGATCTTAATGCCTTAATTAGAAAAATGAGGAAAACTCCAACCTTTAAGGACACAAATTTTCTTTGTGAATGAATAATGTATCATAAATAAATAAATAAATGTTTTTCCTTAAAATAAAGGGTGCATAACTCAGGACACCCCTATGTTAAATTCCCATAGAGTCAGGCAGATTTTTATTTTTAAAAGCCAGTTATTTCATGGATCCAGGATAATATGCATCCTGATAAAGTTCCCTTGGCCTTTGGAATTAAAATATCCCCACATCATCACACACCTTCCACCACACCTAGAGATTGGCATGGGGTACTTTCCATAAGATCATCTTTCAATGCAAATCAAACCAGCTATTAGGCTAACTGAAGTAAAACCATGCCAATCTCTAGGTGTGGTGGAAGGTGTGTGATGATGTGGGGATATTTTAATTCCAAAGGCCAAGGGAACTTTATCATGATACATATTATCCTGGATCCATGAAATAACTGGCTTTTAAAAATAAAAATCTGCCTGACTCTATGGGAATTTACCATAGGGGTGTCCTGACTTATGCACCCTGTATTTTAAGGAAAAAACATTTATTTATTTATGATACATTATTCATTCACAAAGAAAATTTGTGTCCATAAAGGTTGGAGTTTTCCTCATTTTTCTAATTAAGGCATTAAGATCAATATCCAAAAGATGATTTTTATTCCTCTTTTTAGGCAACTTTAGCATGGGTGTCCAAACTTATTCACATCACTGTATCGTGCCACAATATATCGCAATACAAAAATGTAACAATACGTGTCGTGGATAGTGACAATATGTCTCGTGGATCTGACAAATTCCATGAGGGCATTATTGTGATCAGATTGGTTGCCCTGTAATAGGGACAACAGGGCTGTGTCGTCTGAGAACTTTACCAAATAGCTGTTCTCCCAAGATGACCTGCAGTAGTCGGTGTATAATATAAACAGCGAGGGTGAGAGCACACAGCCCTGAGGAGAGCCTGTGCTTGACACGATGACAGATGACATTTTACCATTTACATGTACCTGCTGCCTTCTATTTGTTAAAAAATGTAAAACTAATAATAAGATCTGCTCGGGTAACTTAAAATGTGAGGCTAATCGTTCGATTAGGATATGGGGCTGCATTTTGTTAAAAGTTGAACTAAAGTCAGCAAATAAAATTCTTACATGTGAGGCAGGTTTCTCAAGATGTTTATACACCCTGTCAAGAATGAAAAGCTTTGCATTCTCTACCCCCTTGCCCTCTTAATATGCAAATAAGTAAATAAGTGTGCAAGGAGAACCAGCTTGTTCACGTTGGTCGGGAAAAGGGCGCTCCTTGATTTATTGGCAATGAAACAAGCTAATAACACCCCTAATAACAATAACTCTGGTTCATTTTTACGAATTAAGTAAGTTAAATTCTCTGATAGAGGTCGACCAATATAATTTTGTTACATATATGTTAAGTTTGATGATTAACAGCTTTTGAACTCGGCACTTGAACTTATTTACTTTATTTACTTTTTACGTCCCTGATGTTGTGGATCATTTTTCAGCTTAACTTATTCTGAAGACATAAAATATTTTGAAACGAATCAGCTCTTTGGAATATTAATAATCAATAATAACTTCTTATTATTAATTATGAATATTTGGTTCAGTTAATTGGATTAACTTGATGTGGTTGAATTTATATTACAATTAGCCACTTTTCCACTGGCCAGGGCGAGCACAGAGACCCGAAATCATGACTCACCGCACTCCTGTAAAATAAATCGCTATACAAATATATCAGACGCTAGTCTTTATTTACAAACACCACACGCGGCTATTGACTGACCATGAACAGGTAACTTAGCCTTACGTTTTCATTCGTTAATGTCTCACGGTCTTGCTGTTTTTTGTTTGTTTTACAATTAAAACTAAAAGTATGTTGTAACACAAGCAGAGAGGTTTTTTTCAAAGGCTTGTTTCATTGCCAATAAATCAAGGAGCGCCCTTTTCCCGACCAACGTGAACAAGCTGGTTCTCCTTGCTTATTTACTTATTTGCATATTAAGAGGGCAAGGGGGTAGAGAATGCAAAGCTTTTCATTCTTGGCAGGGTGTATAAACATCTTGAGAAACCTGCCTCACATGTAAGAATTTTATTTGCTGACTTTAGTTCAACTTTTAACAAAATGCAGCCCCATATCCTAATCGAACGATTAGCCTCACATTTTAAGTTACCCGAGCAGATCTTATTATTAGTTTTACATTTTTTAACAAATAGAAGGCAGCAGGTACATGTAAATGGTAAAATGTCATCTGTCATCGTGTCAAGCACAGGCTCTCCTCAGGGCTGTGTGCTTTCACCCTCGCTGTTTATATTATACACCGACTACTGCAGGTCATCTTGGGAGAACAGCTATTTGGTAAAGTTCTCAGACGACACAGCCCTGTTGTCCCTATTACAGGGCAACCAATCTGATCACAATAATGCCCTCATGGAATTTGTCAGATGGTGTGAGGATAGCTTCCTTGACTTAAATGTGTCAAAAACTAAAGAAGTAATCATAGATTTTAGGAAGCATAGTGAAGAACCGAAATCAAGTGTAGTACACAATGATAAGGTTCAAATAGTTCAAACATACAAGTACTTGGCCACAGTGTTTGACTCACAACTGAAATTCAGTGAGAACACTGATAGCATTATTAAGAGTGTAA